CATATACATACATATATGTAGTATATATGTACATACCAACATATATGTAGACATATACAGCATATATGTACATTGATATGTATACCATATGTTCGTCAGAGCGTTAGAAATCAAATTGCATTTTACCGCCCTAGGGCGTAAGATCGATTTTCCCGCCCTAGGGCGGTAAACTCCATTTTAAAAAATTGTTGACGCCGGCGTGACCCACCGGTGAGTCATACTTGTCTGTTCCATGGGGCGGCGTAACCCACCGGAGGGTCATGCTCGATTCGCTCGATTGTTCCGCGGGGCGGCATGCATCATCGATGGATCACGCTTGTTACGTAGTACAAAATGTTATTTTATTGATTTAACGTTATACATTAACATTTCAACATTATAATCAAACATTCAATACAAAACACATAACTTATAATTTAACCGGAATGCACTAACACCGGACCGCGCTTTCAGGTGTCGCCGTACAGAAAAAACTATAAAAATCTGCGCCAGCGTCAACGTGTTAAATCACTAGATAGCCACCAATATTTCATGCCGTTTAATCTGTGGAAATCGTAGCGATCTTTCTGAAGAATTGCGGTTGAGAATTTACATTCGTAAGTGCTTAGGCTTTTAAGCGTTATGCGCTTATTGGCTTTATTTCAGCGCCAGACCGGTATTCATCCTGTGTGGTTTAATGGTTAGTTAAGGAAGTAGTTTCCAAAATCGTATAGGACCAAGCGGCATAAAACGGAATAATTTATAACAATAAATATGTACACATTTGTCCTTTTCAAATTATCCCTTCTAATAAACAGGAATTTCGAACAGTAACTATCTATAAATGAATAATAATTTTAATGAGATGAAGGAAATTCCCTTCTCGATTACGTCATAAGTATGGAAAAATACGCCAATGAGTAGAAATTGGGACGCGAGTAAGAATTTGTACATTTACCTTACGACGTGTGTAATTTGATTGTAGACTATGTTGTCAGTGGTGTGAATCGAAGCAAATTGTACGTTTCTTGTCCGTTCGAAATCATTTGCAATTTTACTGTCGAGCCTTCGCTTTGCATTAGAGTAGTAAGTACATGTTTATAGTGAAGAAGTTTGTTGGAACGGGGTCGAAGAGACAGGGTAAGCGGAGCGCGTGTCTGAGGGCGAAGAATGCCTAACGACTAGAAGATGAGCACGTCCGCCGATAAGACAAGCTTTACAAACTCGACCAGCTAAAAGACGGCTGTCAACAAAGCTTCTCAGTGTGAGAAGAGAAGAAAGAACAGTTTAACGCGCGGTACAGCCAGCTTCTTATCAGTCATTCCTGATTTTCGGTCTGCTCCATTGGACCGGCAACTGTTCCCCAACCCTTTTTCTCACCGTTTACTCTCAGTGAAAGTTTCACCCAAGGAGATCGCTCTTTCCTTACTCGGTTGGATGTTTAACGGAAACAAGTTTGGCAACATTCTTAGCGGTAACTGAAATAATAGCGACAGCGAAGTTTATGACTGAAAGTGAGCAGCCCTGTGTCTAATAAATGAACTTCCTTAATCGCAGCGTAACAAATATTAAATTCGTCCGAGCAACTACGTTTAATTAAACGAATGAAATTTGCATACGAGCACGCGTGTCGTGTTAATTAAACTACGTTTATGAGTTACTTAAGTTTTTTGTTACTGTTCTTATACACAGCATAGCGTACAGTGTATATTATATGTAAATTTTATTACGCAATTTAGTGAAAATAATCTAGAGACGAAAGAAATGCATTGGATATTTACTTGAAATTTTTATGAATAATTGATTGAGATGGTTTGTTATAAAAACCCATACTTCGGTGACTGACATAACTTCAAATGATAGACTGATCGATTATGTATAATAACTATTTAATTTTTTTAACTTGTGTAATAAGATAATTCTGATTACGAACACGTTATTCATAGTCGTGCATAATGTAAAAATGTCCTGTAAGCGAAGTCGAAAGATTAACGGCGTAGGAAGAGGCCTCTCCGATAGAAAACAGATGGCTAAGTCCCGGCCACATTGTTTGGGCCAGGCCGATAAGGCCACAGCGTATTTTCACCCCTTAAAAAGGACGTTGGGAAAGCGACGAGTCAAAGCAGTGATAGTTCCTTGCGAGCGCCCAGACGCATAACAGCGAACACGTCGTATTTGGAGCAATTTCTTGAGATTTAATAAAGTTTATAGCATATCCTTACAAGTCAGAAGTGGGATTAGAACTGCGTGCTAGTGTTAATTTGAAAGTGATTCCGTGATTTTTGACTGTTTATAGCGTTACGGAATCGAACTTTAATAGTGATAGTTACTGTATATATAAGTTAGTTATATTTAGACAGTAGTTAAATATAAAATGGGTCGGTCGCAAGATAGGTCGCGTAAGCAAGTACGCGTGAACTCTCGAGAGAGATCTCGTTCGACGGATCGATCGCGAAGACACTCGCGAGATCGGCAGCGTCGACAAGAACGCGATCGTTCGCGGAGTGTAATTTCGGTGCGAGATCGTAGGAGAGATTATTCGCGCGAACGAAGTGGTGAACGTAACAATCGTAAATACGGAGGACGTGATGTGTCGGTGGACTCGGTGAGTGACGAGAGGACCCGTGATCGTGCGCGAAGGTCACGAAGTTGCTCTTCGAAAGAGGAACTCCGTAAGAAAGTGAAGAGACTGGAATCTGAATTGAGGCACACGTTCACCAGGTCCGCGGTTGATGAATATACTGTACCGGTGTTCGATCCCGTGCGTGATAGTGCGGACATCGAAAAATGGGTTGGCCAGGTGGACCGTCTCGCGCGGCGATATCAATGGTCGGATGATGACATCATACGAATCATTGCGCGGAATTTGAAAGGCCATGCAAAACGCTTTTACGATGAGGAACAAGAGTACGATCATTCGTGGAAGTCGTTGAGTCGACTTTTGATTCGCCAGTTCCGGAAACCGATGCCGTTCGGGAGATTATTGAAAGAAGCGGCTAATTTCAGTGCTCGACCAGGCCAAAAACTGGGGGATTACTGCTTCGAGAAGATGTCGAAGTTGCGGGCGTTGAAGTTGGACATCCCTGATGAGTATATGGAGGATGCGATAATCTCGGGAATTGGGGATGAAACCATTGAACGCACGATACGTTCTAACAAGTTCAAAGATGTATATGAACTGTATGCGTCAATGAACGAAATGGGACGGATGCCGCAGAGTGCTACGATCAAGACGTCGCATCGATTGATCGATCGTGAACGACCAGTCACACCCTCGGAGACGCGACGGCAAGAGAAACGGCAAGCTGCACCTGCGAAGGATGAACCTCAGTCAGGTATCGTCTGTTTCAATTGTGGACAGTCGGGTCACATCTCGAGACGATGTTTGAAGGACCATATTACCTGCGACTCCTGTAAAAAACCGGGTCATCTAGCTAAGTATTGCCAACGGCTGAAGTAGTCCGTTGATACGGTACAGGTGAGCTCTAAAAACTCAAATATATATATTATCGGCATATGTAAACGGCAGTCGAGTCAGTTGCTTATTAGACACTGGCAGTTCGCACACGTTGATGAGAAAGACATTAGCGAGTCGGTTAGAGTTGCACATGATTGAAGTTTCGGAAATAGAATTACGCGGATTCAATGGTGCAGAAACTCTTAGCAATGTTTGCGTAAACATCACCATTAAAATTATGGAAGCAACTGCTAAAGTATGCGCGATATTGGTAGAGCCTAATCAGTTGAATTATGAGATGATTGTGGGCCGCGATTTTCTGGATCAAGATCACATCGTTTTTATTAAACAACGAAATCAAATCATAATCAAGACGCTACCCGATATAGACCATTTGAAAAACAATATAAATGTATGTGCCGTCGAACAGAAAATAAATTTCGACGAATTGAATTTTGGACGGATTGCGGATGTAGACAAAGATCTTTTTATGAATTTAATTACAAAATACGCCGATCGAATTACTACGTCTTGGAAGACGTTAGGGATGACTAACGTAGTTAAGATGCGTATACAATGTACGACGGATACGCCGATTGTTTATCGTCCATATCGCATGGCTGAAAGCGAACGAGTGGTTGTGCGACGGATGATTTAAGAATTGTTGGACAATGGAATTGAGAGCGAGACTACACGATATCAAGAAAAATGATATTGTTATAATTGGAATTATAAGCGAAGCATCTACGAGAAGGGGGCCGAGGTGCCAAGACGGTTGTCGCCGTCGACAGGTTGAAGCCGTGGGAAGCGGTAGTTAAAGAATGAGATATTGGTTATTTTTGTTTTGTTTAAAGGGAAAAGGGGTTTGGAGATCGAGATTGTCCGTTCCAAAACAAGAGGGATGTGTATGGAGCGTTGTCACCGTGATGACCAGGTTCTAGGATGCGATCGTCAAGCGTCAAGGACGAGGATGGATTTGGTTGTCCGCCAGAGCAAGGAATAGGGTTATGCCGTCCTGCTTGGTTGTGTACCAAGGCAAGGAATAGGGCTATACCGTCCTGTCTGGTTGTTGATTTGGTTGTCCGCCAGAGCAAGGAATAGGGCTATGCCGTCCTGTTTGGTTGTTCATGTGATTGTTCGCCAAAGCAAGGAATAGGGCTATGCCGTCCTGTCTGGTTGTTGATTTGGTTGTCCGCCGGAGCAAGGAATAGGGTTATGCCGTCCTGCTTGGTTGTGTACCAAGGCAAGGAATAGGGCTACGCCGTCCTGCTTGGTTGTTGATTTGGTTGCTGATATGACTGCTCATCGGTACAACGGATTGGACAGCGTTGGATACTACCTGACTTATTGTCATGAATGGATATTGGATGGAAAAACAACTCATCAACTAATGGTCTGCTGCGAGGAAATATAATAAACAACAGAGAGTCGACATGGGACGATTGTTGAACATAATATTAATTGGAATCTCGTCCCTTGAGTTCGGCCATTTATGAAAAACCCGGGGAGTATTATTATATTCACATGTGAAAGGATTTCTTTGATTATTGTGTTATAAGCTTGTGTATTTAATTACATTCTTTTATTGACTGTTTAGAAACCAACTGTCTAAAGATGCACGAGGACGAGCATCAAAACAGGAAGGCCGAATGTAAGCGAAGTCGAAAGATTAACGGCGTAGGAAGAGGCCTCTCCGATAGAAAACAGATGGCTAAGTCCCGGCCACATTGTTTGGGCCAGGCCGATAAGGCCACAGCGTATTTTCACCCCTTAAAAAGGACGTTGGGAAAGCGACGAGTCAAAGCAGTGATAGTTCCTTGCGAGCGCCCAGACGCATAACAGCGAACACGTCGTATTTGGAGCAATTTCTTGAGATTTAATAAAGTTTATAGCATATCCTTACAGTCCTCTCGTATAACTTTGATATTTTTATTCTGTACTTCTTAATTTATGTGAGAAGTAAACGCAATAAAAACGACGCGCAGGTAGGTAAATCGCAAGAAAGCAACGTGGCGTCCAACCTCGAAGGGAAAAATGTTCGCCGTTTCGCAAACGAGGTATTCAAAGAGGCATCATTTGTTTGCGTGAAAGAACTGTAAGGCTCCGCTGTGAACGACAACGGCTCGACGAGGAGAAACGTCAACTGTCGACGGTCGAAAACTCCTCGAGACGTGTATATCTCCACCATTAGGTATGCACCCACGTCAACGTCGTTCGAGCCTCTTATCTTCACCGGGAATATTTCTACGCGTGTCATCGCGGCTTAACGACCGCTTGTACTATTTCCAGCACTGTCGGCATCCTGTTCGAGATAAAAAAATGTTGACGAAACGTTGTCAAACGTAAAATGTTAAGGGTATCTATAAATAACGTCATTTTTTAGATGAAAATATAAAAAGACGACGTTATCATACTATTATACAGGTTGATTCATTAGATATTACCACCTTGACTTTCTTCATTACTATTATGTATATAGTAAGAAATGTTTATACATACACATATAATGTACGTATACATAGAATGGTTTCGACAGCGGCATATTCTGGCATTGTGAATTATTTTGTAGGTGGGCTCGTAGAAGAGATATGAAGGTCGTCACCATTTTTTTAAGTGGGATTGTATTACGCGCCTCTTCCTCATGATCACATGTAGTACACCCGACTTCCTAGCGACGTCGCCACATTTTTTAACGCATCCGATTTAAAAAAAAAACACAATTGGCTCTCCGCTGATCGTGGGCTCCTGCCATTTTGTTTTCATTCTTTCGCTTTGTGCCGAACTAGCCACTTCGCATAGTACGGCATACCAGTGTTACAGGTGACGAATAGTAATAATTAAACAATGGGACATAAGAGAAGGTCTACGTCTTCCGATAGCTCGGAGGAGAAACATTTGCGGAAGAAATTGAAGCGGTTAGAAAGGAAATGAATGGAGAGAAGACGAAAGAGATCGAACCGGAAAAGGTCAGGGAGGAATCATTCCAGGAGTCCGAGTCCTAGTAATTGAGACGAGAGGGGATGGAGTTCACAATGTGACTACAGCTGTAAGCAAAATTAATTAATCTTTCATATTAATTTCATAGGCCCCAGGTTAGGGAAGAGACGGAGAAAATCATGTCCGGCTATATTCTGCGCAGGAAGCCAGTTATTATAAGATCAAATGGAAAAAATTTATTTCTGAATGACTCTGATCATTAAGAATTGCAGACTATATTATGCACAAAAAAGCCAGTTATGATAAGATCAAATGTAAGAATTTTTAATGACTTTAATCATTAAAAATTGCAGGCTCCTCTCTGCACGAAAACCAATCATGAAATTAAACATTCAATGACCCTAATCATTGGAAGTTGAAAAACGTCATTGTCTATTCTAATCAAAGATAAAATCTGATCTATCAATTGGCTTAATTCTTAGTCGGGTGCTAACCCAGACAAAGAAATGTTTATCTCACCGGCTCGCCTTCACGTTGCGAGCCAGTTACGAGCCAAGCACAAATATATCGATACGCTGTTAGATTTCCCTATACAGATTGACATATGCGCAAATAACATGTCAAATAACAAAATCATTTCAGCTGACGGAAGTCATGATAAAAGATCTCGAGACAATTCGAGATCGCAACCAAAATCCCCAACAAGATTGGATTCAGGTGGGAACCCAGATAGACGACAAAACACCGAGGCTTCGGGAAAGGAAAAAGATCGGGGGGGGGGGAGGCATTGAACGATGAATTATTAAACATCATCGACAAACGTGTTTGCGAAGAGAGAGTGTTTTCAGCTCCAGTACAGGAGAATGTTGCCCTTCGATGGCAAGACATTCTGAAAGAAGGATTGCCAAATGAGGAGAGAACACAGCTGATTAAAAAATATCCAATACCGGAAAATCTTGTATTAACAGAACCACCAAATTTCAATGCTGAGATAAAAGCTATTGTACAAGAGTCTGTATGCTCAAGAGATAAACGTATCATACTAAAGCAAGTAAAGATTGCTTCTTGCCTATCTGCTACGGGGAAAATAATGTCAGCAATCCTCAAAAAAGAAAAATCTAAAGAGAACATCGAAATCCTTGAATGTTTGGCAGACATAGGCAGCCTTCTAGCAGACCTACGACCAAATGAGTCGGCTATTAGAAGAAGTTTAATTGTCAGTAATATAAACTCAGACTTGAAGGAAGCACTAACGGATACAAAATCGAATACCCTTCTGTTTATAGATAAACTCGATGAAGTCCTTAAGTCTGCAAAGGCATTAATGCTATAGGTCGGCTATATCCCTACTTGTTGGACCGGAGATGGCCCAAGATTTTAGAATGATCAGATTCTTTAAAGGGATATCCAAAATTCATCAATAGACCATCAAAACCAAAATACGACTCTACTTGGGATCCGAAAATCGTATTAGACCATATCTCGGCTATGCCATGTAATGAACAATTAACTCTAAAAGAGTTGAACACGCAGGATAGATCAAAAATTCGCAGACATTTGCAAAATTTTATAATTTAGAGATATCAAAGGGCAAGAATGCGTTTGCCAAAGCTATTTTAGACACGTAAGAAATCCAAACATTTTAACTAAGCACATATATCTCACATACTATATGTATATTATAAGAATTGGGACCTCATGCTGTTACAATTGCGTAAGATACTTTTATTAATAAGAATGTAACACTGCAACAATATAATTCGTAATTCATCTCAGAATTATATACAGGGTGTCCCAGAACTAGTGTTAGGCCTTGAAATGGGGTGGAGCCATGGTGATTTTAAACAACTTTTTCCTTTGCAAAAAAGTTGTCCGAGGCGTGGTAGTCGAGTTATTAACAAAAACTCTCGACGAATCAGAGCGCGAGTATACAAGGCGGGCAGGAGCGAGGTAACCGCCTCGTGCGTTGTCGCGCCCGTACGTCGCGCTCGTGACGGGAGCACAAGATGAAAGAAATGTTACATGCAAAAATGAA